AGAATACTTCCAGTGTCTCTTGTCAACTGACTGTGAGCATCATGCCAAGTCACTGACAACTACTGCCTAGATTAGTGTAGTAGCTTCCTAGATGGTCCAGCTACTGTTCTGGCCTCTCTCTAGTCTGCAGTTATGACAACAGACAAATGAGCAACTCAGCACCTAAGTCAGAACATGTGCTTTCCCAGATCAAAAACGTCCTGACGTTTCTCCGTCTGACTTGGGATAAAAGTCAAGGTTTGCCTTCTGCTTGCCAAATAGACCCCATCTGTTCTGCCCTGACTCTCTCTATCCTCTCTAGACACTCTTCTCTGGCCTCTCTCTGACCACTTTCTGGCCTTTTTCGTTATTCTTTCCAAAATGCACATTCCTGTCCAGAGTCTTTTAAATGAGGTTTGTCTCTGCCTGGAAAGCCCTGTCTCTACCCTGGGTATCTCTATGGTTCCAGTGGGTTATCCTGCACTTGGAAGTTTTTACAGAGTGTACCTCTCTCTGTTTTCTCTCAGTGGCTTCCCTAAAATTACCCCCAGACCAGTCCGCACACACTTCCTTCCCGATCTCTCTGCTTTATCATTTTACCAATTTACCACTCTTTCCCACTGATTATACTTTATATATTCATCTTATAATTGTCTCTCTCGTTGGAAGGTATACTCCACAGGGCAGGGATCTGATTTTGCATTCTTTCAGTCACCACAATTGTACCTGGAATTGTATCTGCTATCCGGTTGGCATTTGCTGGAAGAAAGGGTTCTAGACTCCTTAGCTGCATATGTAGCCCAGTCTGAGGGTAGGATTACAGGGGGCTTAGGTTAGTCAGTAGCTCCCCTACTCCTCTGGTTCCTGGTGATTTTCTCTATGACTTTCCCTGAATTTCTCCAACTATATCTAGGGAACTAAATTCTTGACTTTCATTTATCAGGACAAAAGGCTAACATGTGCAAAACACTTAGACCAATGCCTTGGGCAATAGTAAATGCTCAGCAAATGCTATTTATCAAATTGCTTTTAGCATATTAATCATTACCATCAAAGAGCTTGTTTCTCTGTTTCAGTGATGCCCTTTTTTTTTTTTCTGGTTTCTTCGATGTCGATGGCTATGGCTCCTGTCTTAGTTAGAGTTTTTATTGCTGTGAAGAGACACCATGGCCACAGAAACTCTTACAAAGAAAATCATTTTACTGTGGCTGGCTTACAGTGTCAGAGGCTTAGTCCATTATCACCATGGCAGGCGGCATACATGCTGACTTGGTGCTGGAGAGGTAACTAAGAGTCCTACATCTTGATCTAAAGGCAACAGGAAGTGAACTGTGTCACTGGGTGTAGCTTGAGCATACATGACCTTGAAGCCTGCCCCCACAGTGGCACACTTCCTTCAATAAGGCCACACCTACTCCAGTCAGGCCACACCTACTCCAACAAGGCCACACTTCCAAATAGTGCCACTCCCTCTGGGTTTATGGGGGCCAATCACATTCAAACTATGACAATTGCCTTCTCCTCTTTGCAAGCTTGTTCTCCTTCACTAGACTCTTGCTAGCTAATGGGCACCTTAGAGCACAGGGCTGGACCTTCTACTTTAAAAAAATGTAATGGTTTCATCCAGTGTCCTTACAATACCATGTATGTTGGTCACTTGAAATTTGTGTCTGCAGCCCAGACCTCATGCCCTTCATTGGAAGCTAGTCCTTCTTACTGAAGTCTTGGGATCATGGCTTGGCTCTAGAGACTTGGTGGCTGTGATGATGTTAAGTCATGGTTCTTTACTACATTTCCCCCTCCCTTTGAGTGTGAACTGGACTTAGTGACTTGCTCTTAATGGAAGAATCTGTTACTTGTAACAATGCATTGTTTCCAAGACTGGATGAAGACTCATTTTGGCTTCTCTCTTCTAGATCTGTCAGTCTGGGGGACCAGTGATCATAGTCTACAGATACTCAAGCAACCCTCTGATGAGAATGTGGGTGAGTTCTTGCTCACAGCCGGTGAGGAACTGAGGGTGCAAGAGTGTGGACCCTCACATCCTGAGGTACAGCTCTGTTGGCAATGGCAACAGTCCCCCTTGGTGTGTGGAAGGCAGTCTACTGAGGGCCCCTGTGCTAGAATACACCTTCCCTCGGTGATAGAACAAGTCCCAGGTGGACCATAGGCCTAACTATGCCCAACTTGGAGAACAGATTGAAGAATGAATCCATGGCCGGAGAAAAACTCACTTGTTGTGCATAGCCAGGTCTTGTTGAACACCTGAACTCTTCGGAAACCAACTTCTAAATACTTGATCTTGTTTCCTTCAGGTACTGAATCCAGAGACAAAGGAAGAAGTCAAGAATCTAGACATTCTAAAGATTGTCAAAATGTCCCGACTCTCCACGGGCATCAGTGTGGTAGCTTTGTCCAGGATCTAACTCATTAGGATATCCAGAGCCTGGCATTTGGCTTGGCACTTGCTCAGCTCTGGACCAGGGATGCCTACAGAAACCACCTTGTTGTTTTTCTAAAACATCCATCAATGTGCTTCCCTAAAATATAGTGGATCTAGTGAAAAAGAAACAAAAATTGTTCCTGAATCTAATTTTGCTCTACATGAAATTTTTTGATGACCACGAGAAATAAAATCAATTTACATATAATTAAAAAGAATACTCAAAAATTAACATGAATGAAAATGGATCTACAGGATCCTACCAGCAACATTGTTAACTCTTCTGAGTGTAGAGGTCAGAGAAGAGGTTTCTGCTTCCTGTCTATACTGTCGGAAATCCGTCTCAGACTTTGCATTCTCCCCTAGGACCTAAGCCCAACCAAATCTCCAGGGAAGGGCCATTGTCGCGAGATTACAGCCTGCCTTTCTGTAGTTTTCCTCTGACCCCACCTTGAGACAGCTCCTTCCTCTCCCCAGGACTTTCTGCACACTTTGCTTCCTCTCTCTTATTCCCTAGGCCTCTGGTCCAGGGCAGCCTTCCCTCACATAAACACATCCTGAAATAGTTAGGGTTACTATTGCGGTGACAAAACATCACAACCAAAATCAAGCTGGGGAGGAAAGGGTTTACTTGGCTTATACGCCAGCGCTGTTCATCACCGAAGGAAGTCAGAACAGGAACTCCAACAGGGCAGGAACCTGGAGGCAGGAGCCGATGCAGAGGCCATGGAGGGGTGCTGCTTACTGGCTTGCTCCACATGGCTTGCTCTGCCTGCTTTCTTATAGAACCCAAAACAATCAACCCAGGGGTGGCCCCACTCACAATGGGCTGGGCCCTCCCCATCAATCACTAATTAAGAAAATGCCCGACAGGCTTGCCTACAGCCAGATTTTGTGGAGGCATCTTCTCAGTCAAGGTTCTCTCCCCTCAGATGACAATACTTGTGTCAAGTTGACATAAAACTCTATAGCACATATTGTTTAAGTATATTACCATGTCATCTTCAAGTATTCCGCATATCATCAAAGGGTAAAGTCCCATCATGCTTAAAGTCATTGGAGTCTAATTTGACTTAGGAAATTTTATCCATCAGACTTTTTGTGTATTAATGCACCTGGCAACTGAAGGGGGCATTTCCTGATAGTGTGTGTGATATGGTATGGTGGAAGTGTATTCCCCTTGGGGCAAGAAGACTTGGGTTGCATTTTTAATTTTGCCAATTACCAGCAAAAATCACCTTATGTGAATTATTGAAATGTGTTGGCCCTCAGCTAAACTGAAGATCACAATGGCTGCTTCACTGGGTTTCTGAGAAATTTAGGGCAGATAGTCTGTAAAGACCTTTGAGCACAGTTCCCGATACACAGTAGGAGTTCAAATGGACACCTCTTTCTCTACCGTTGAACCCCTGACAAGCCTGCTGCTGCTCCTTAGAGTTTAGGAAGGAGCTGTTTGACACTGAATGACTTCCGCAGTGGACAAGGGGTGGCTCACACCCGTTGTGCTGGCTAGTCTTAGGTCCACTTAACGCAAGCTAGAGTTCTCTGAACGGAGAGAACCTCAATTGAGAAAAATGTCCCTGTAAGATCCAGCTATAAGGCATTTTCTTAATTAGTGATTGATAGGGGAAGGCCAAACCCACTGTGGGTGGTGCTGATGCTGGGTTGGTGGTCCTGGGTTCTATAAGAAGGCAGGCTAAACCAAGTGTGGTTACCCAAGCCAGTAAGCAGCTCCCCTCCATGGCCTCTGCATCAGCTCCTGCCGCCAGGATCCTGCCCTGACTTCCTTCAATGATGAACAGTGTTGGAAGTGTAAACGCCAAATAAACCCTTTCCTCTCCAACTTGCTTTTTGGTCATGGTGTTTCATCACAGCAGTAGAAACCCTAAGACACCAATCAGCCCATCACTGAGTGAGTGAGGGCATAGCTGAGACAGGAGGATTGGAAGTTCAAGTTCCATCAAAGCTACACAGTGAGTTGAAGAGTCATGTCTGGGATACATCCTCAGACTCTGTTTCAGTGAGAGAGAGAGAGAGAGAGAGAGAGAGAGAGAGAGAGAGAGAGAGAGAGAGAGAATGCATAGTTGGGGACAAACTATGGCAGATGCTAAAGAGCATTCTGGCATTTAACATTGCCCATAATGAGTGCTATTACAACACAGTATTTCAGATACTGTGTAACAAAACACCCCTGAGCTTGGTGGTATAGAGCAATGATCATTCCGTTCATGTGCCTAGATTATTTGGGCCAGGTGTTGAGAATGCCAGCCACGTTGATAGAGTATGATGTCTGGGGGATCAGTGAGATTCAACTGGGCAATATGATTGGAAGCTTGATGACAGATCACAGAAGACAGCTATCCAAAGAAGGAAGGGAGAGATGAAAGAAAAGAACCAAAATGATTAAAGCAAGAAAGAAAAAGGAGCTGAATAAAGGCATCAGTGGGTGAGTACCACTTCAAGAACTGTCAGGTGGTGTGGGGAGTGCCGTTTGAGGACAAGGAAATACCGGAAATTCAACTCATTTAGGGGAAAGATAAATTGACTCGGGGGCATGTTGAGCTTGAGTTACTTAAAGGTCATCCAGTGAAAGGTCATCCAATAGAGAGTTGGAGTTATACATTAGGAGCTCAAGAAAGTAGTCCTGAGTCTGGTGGTACTGGTTGGTGTCATGAGATTGAATGAAATTGTTCAGGAGGAATATTTAGAGAAGCGACATTAAGTTGACCCTCCAAGGTTACTAACACTTGGAAGTTAACAAAGGTGGAGCTGACATCAAAACATGTTACACGAATCTTAAAATGTCTTATTAATAAAAAGAAACCTGGAGCTGGGTATTAGGGTGAATGCTGGAAGATCAGAGAAGCAGAACAGGCCACAGTCACCTCACCTTGCCAATTCCTCAGCTGATCCTGTTTCCTCAGACTGGATGCCTCTCAGCTGAACTGTGCTGCTCAAAAGCCTAAAAGCTTAACCAGGTCTAGTTCTTCGTTCTCATGCCTTAAATACATATCTGTTTCCTGCCATCACTTCCTAGGATTAAAGGCGTGTGTCACCATGCCTGGCTGTTTCCAGTGTGGCCTTGAACTCACAGAGATCCAGACAGATCTCTGCCTCTGGAATGCTAGGATTAAAGATGTGTGCGCCATCATTTTCTGGCCTCTGTGTCTGTCTAGTGGCTGTTCTGTTCTCTGACCCTAGATAAGTTTATTAGGGTGCACAATATTTTGGGGAACACAGTATCACCACAAAAACACATAGAGAAATGTTTAGAAAAGGGAGACAGGAAGAAACTGATTTTGAAAAGGTCAGAAGAAAAACCAAATTCAACACAGAAAACATGCATGCAATAGAGGAGACAAGAGCAGTTAGGTCCCCTTAGCATCAGCTGCTGGGAGTAGGGTCTCTTCCCCAACTGGACAGGCTAGTCCTGGGAGGAAAAGGAATAAAATTCAAGACAGGGACTATGGCCTTTGAAAGGCCTGTGATAGGTAATAAGTTACCAAAACAGAGATGGACAAAGACCAAGAAAGATGCACCATGACTCAAGCTGGTGATTCGATGAGGCTGGTCTCAGAAATAAGATAAGAACACATTTATCAGGCAGATGTTGGGGTAAGAGGGAACACAAGTAAACTGATGTCAGAGTTGTTTACATATGCTGTTCTCCTAAAAACTAGAACAGAGTCAACAGGTAGGAATTGAATGAACGAAGCTTTGAGGGAGCCATCTTTTTATATTTAAGTCATTTTGTTACATGTTGAGTTACTCGGGGCAATTTGAATTGGATGACTGTAAATCCTTCTGAAGGTAGCTGAGGTAAGATGGAAAAGATTTCCAGAGAACATTAATGCATCTCATGAAATGGGAAGGTTCAGTCATCAGATCATGATACACAACTGAGCACCAGGTAAACCGAAAATAGTGCCGGGCATAGCAGGGTTCTCTCTCTAATACATCCCCAGTTCCCCTTTCTCTGGGAGTTAGCTTCATTCCCACGACTAGACCATGGCCTTACCAGCAGCATCGAAGTTCTATATGGTAAGCTTTTACCACCATTAGAGGTACTAATCTTAAAAATGTCCCATGAACAAAGAACAAAGTACCCACCTCTTGGTAAAGAGTGATACAGAACTGCCTCTCCGGAGTCGGGCAGTTGGGAAGCAGCACTTTCTATAAAAATGGAGAATGAAAAGCCAGGCTGACAAAGCCGTGGGTGTTGAGCTTGCCCATCCAGCTTTTAAGAGAAATTATTATTTTCAGAAAGCCCAGGTTTCCCTCTGCCATGGAGACTTATTAATAGGGTGACTGGTTGTCCGTCCCCATTTGTCTGGGTAGTCCCATTTACACACATTTCCCCAGCACAGTTATTAATAGCCTCCTTTCACTTTCAGAAATGTCCTGAATTGGAAGATAAATTATACAGACATCTTATTTATTGGTTGTGTGACTCTGGATTGGCCCAAGTACTCGACTTTAAAGGATGGTTGTAATGGCAGGTTGTAACCCCTTGAGATAGGCTATTCTTCAAGGGGCACTTGTGTACTCAAAATATAACAGGCATTCAATAAATGTTGACTCAAGAATGAAATGCTATACAAAGCTCTTCTCTCCCAACCTGCTTTATAAAGTTATATTTGTCGCATGCTTCCAGCTCTGAACAATATTACAAACAGAGCACATTAAAGTAATGGGCTCCACAGAACCTCAGAATCTCAGAGCTAGAATGAAATCTCTTCAGTCTGACCCCCTTTCAATTATATGGGGAACCCGTGGCTATAGCCTAGCACACAAATCTACTTCATTTCCTGACTATTGGACATTCTGGAGCTGGCTACTAGCAGACATTCAACAAACGTTTGATTCAGTTTTCAGTTCCTGCTTTTCTTCAGCCTCATTTGCAGCATAACCTGACTCCCAGAATCCCCACATGCTCAATGGGGCAGCCACAGAGACTCTGTGTTAGAATGTCTTTTCCCAGGTTGAGGGTGAGGCTCAATGCCGAAGCTCACGCTTAGCAAAACAGAGGTCCTGGGTTTGATCCTCCACACTACACACAGAGTCAGAGGCCATATTGTCTAGTATAGCATCGTGTGTACTCCTCTTCGACTACGATTTTCTTCTCACATCTCATGGGGTTCCCTGATCCTTTGTTGCTCTGGCCATTTCTGGGTACAGTCAGTCTGTCCAAAGACCTCTAAGACACTGTTCCAAGACCTCTTTTGACCAAGGCTTATTTTTGTTAAAAAGTGGAAATCTCACAAGATACAGGAAATTAATTAGATTTCTATTATTATCAAGCCAGGATTGTTCAGACTTTTTTTTTTTTTTTTTTAGCCATGCCACACTACCGACTCCTATGTAGTTTCCTACTAATTATTTTTAATTAGATACAGGCTTGCGTTTGAAGTCTGGTTGGAAATACAAGCGATTTCCTGCATATATTTCTACCAGGCCAATCCTCCTATATCACTTCTTATTCGATTTGGTCTGCTTAGCTTCCAAGCCTTCCGTGTGTCTTTACATCATTGACTTGACATCTAGAGTCTTCTCTGACTCCCCACCTTGTCCTTGTCTTGACATCTAGTGCGTAGTGAAGACCTGAAAGAAAGTTGTGGAGGTTGAGGTAGGATGATTGTGAGTTTGAGGCAGACCTGTCTTTAACAGACAAACAGAAAACGGAAGAAGAAAGAAAGGGAATAAATCATTAAATACGTAGCAGCGCCCCTTTACAGAAATGGTTCTACAGATGAAGAAGCCTGATAAAGAGCGAGTAACTTTACAGAGGCGCGCACTGCACTGAAAAGAGCCGGGCGGTGGTGGCGCACGCCTTTAATCCCAGCACTCGGGAGGCAGAGGCAGGCGGATCTCTGTGAGTTCGAGGCCAGCCTGGTCTACCAAGTGAGTTCCAGGAAAGGCGCAAAGCTACACAGAGAAACCCTGTCTCGAAAAAAAAAAAAAAAAAAAAAAGAGAGAGTTTTACAACAGTCGAGGCTGTTCCTCCACGAATGAGCTGCGTCCTGAGATATTTCCTGATCATGGGTAGTGTAGACAGACAGGATAACCATCTGTGCAGGATGTTTGACTGGGAATTCCTATGTTGGGTGTGACTTTAGATTACATTATGTCTGAAAATATTTCCATCTACTGGATTCCATGGACACAACACATGTACTATTAATAATCGCATTGAGATTGTTTTTTAATATCCTGTAGCTGAAAGGATATTACACATTTTCTTCACTAGAAACATGAATAAAAATACATGTATGTGTTCTAGCTATAATAAAATTACACATATTATGGTGTTTCAGTAGAGTGTTTTGGAAAATTTAAACCATACTAGTTTCCAGATATTTCTCGTTAAAAACAGAGATTGAATTTTATTTAAAAGAAAGTAAAGGCTTGGACAGCACCTTATTAATAGTCAGAATCATTGATTATAGACACTTATTGGTAACCATTCAAACTATCTTGTTTCTCACAGGGCTTTTCAAATGTATCTTTATTCCCATTGATGAATATCTACCCGTTCACCCATGTATATTATGAACCTTGTCAAGTAGCCAGTAATTGCGAGTGAGCTTATACAATTATAGCCACCTAATCTAAAACTTCATTTTACAATATAAGAAACTCCTTTGAAGTAAGAAAGGAAACAGAGAACTTGGAGAGCCCTACTCAGGAGAGAGTCACACTCTGCTGTTCTGTTCTGTGTGCACTAACACGGAGCTCAAGTTTTCCAGCCAAAGACACGTTTCACTAAACGAAACATTTAGTTTCCTACTGGATCATTAGGGTGGCCCGGCGTTCTCCGAGAGACAACAATGGATTCCTACACCATCACTTAGAAAAAGACATTCAAGTAAATTTCAGGTAGGGATAAAGGAGGTAAGGATAATATTCAAATTGAAGGATATAGTGAATGGCTTTCCTAAATCTCATCACTAGGGGTAATATAAGAAAAGCACTTGCAGATTTACTTAGTGTTCCCTGTTTTTAAATTAAGTATATAGCTGTTCTGCCCAGAGAATTCTAATTAGCTGAATTTGAAAGGTGATGGTTCAGTGTGTTTCATGAAATAATACCACTGTGCTGATTTCTTAAATTTCGCAGTGTAAAGTGCCTCTAATCCAACTCTGAACTTGAGTTTTGTATTTTTCTCAGTGGCATCTTGCTGGCTCATGCCAGTTTGACACGGAGAAGTGGAATTGACTGAGGGGAAGCACACAAAAGGACTCTCCGTGGCGGAGTCTCCTCAGAATGCCAGGAGTGCTCAATAGAACGCCTTTCCCCACCATGACGCTCAACAAGGGTTTATGAACATCTCTTTAACCTTAGGGGGATATTTTCTTTTCGTAAAAGACTGAAAACTCAAGGAACCTCTCCAGAATTACTTGGAGTCTTCTTTTTTCTTCCTGTTGATCTTTTCCTCACTGGGACCACCCTAATTAGCTCATACTCTCAGAAGGGGAATTTCATTTTCTCAAACTAGCAGGCAACAGAATTTCATTGTAAGGCTGAGGCAAAGCATTGTGAATGTGTGGTTGGGGTGTGTGTGTCTGTATATGAGTTGTGGTTATAAGGCTTGTAGATTCTGATGATAAAAGTTATTCTATAATGAGTAGCATGTGGTTTCAGACATTAGCAGCCATATAAACTAGCAGCCATAAGCCAGTGTGTGTGTGTGTGTGTGTGTGTGTGTGTGTGTGTGTGTGTGTGTGTGTATTTCTAAACCCAACAATGCATTAATACAGTGCTGTTGGGTAACTCTGATGACTTAGCGTGGGTGACAGTCCCACCACAGGCCCTCTGCATGTCTCTAGGGTTCATCCCAACACTTCTATTATGCCATGGAAGCACACTAAAGGTGTTTCACTGTGTTTTGTCTTGCCTTGGTATGATATCTTACAAGCTGCTTTTCATCTGCAGGTGTGTTAAGGATAAATTAGGCAAATGAGGGACTTGACATCCCATAAGAGAACAGCTAAGCCACATATGATGACTGAGCAAGAATGCGTCTATAGTGTTCGCTCTGGAAAGTAAAGGGGGCTTTAGTAGACTGCAGGTTGCCTTAACCTTGGCTGTGCCCTCTGTGTCTAATTTGGAAGAAACAGGCTGGAGGATTTCTGCCTTGCATGG